CGCCATAATAATCAGTACTTGTACACACTTTCATTTCTTTGAAAAGCAAAAATATTGTTTTTCATTAATTCACTAAGTAAATTTGTACAAGTTGTCCGGTGAATAAAGTACTCCGAACTTTTGCTTTTTTTAATGACATTAATTTTTCATTCCAAGTGAAAAAGGACTTGTTTGGGGCACTGCACAGGGTGGTCCGAAAGTCTTGTCACCCTAACCCTCTCGTGTCAGCCATCAAATAGAATAGAACATTATATTATGGTGGTGATAAGACTTTTGGACCATCCGGTAAAATGGCTTTGAAATATAAAAATTCGTTTATACAAATACTTACTTATGAAATTAAAAAAAAAAAGTTCTTATTGATAGTTTGTTTTTTTTTTTATTTTCCAAACAAAATAAACTAATTAAAAATGTCCATTGTTGTTATCGTACATTTTATTTCTTTGTTTGCATTCACTCTTGAAAAAGTTAGAGTACTTTGTTGGTGTGTAAATAAGTGTACTGATAAAATCTGAATTTTTTTTTTCTGACAAATTTTAATATTTATTTTGTTGTGATTAAACTTTGGTTGATTTAGGAAAAACAGGATGACAACTGCTGAGTGTTGGATATTGATAAAAGGAAAGAAAGACTTAATGTTATAGGTCAGTTCTGTTTGTTGATTTTCAGGAGGGAAAAGAATTTACAAAAATAAATAAAACAAATACAAATTTATTCAAGGTCTCTACTATATAGGATATAATTAAAAAATTTAGTTCACACACAGTATTGAAACATGAAAGCTTTTGTGTAGCAATGTAAAATGTTTTTATAATAATAAAAATATATTTTGCTATACTTTGTATTGAGCACTTTTTAAAAAGTAAAAATGCTACAAACTGGATTTTTACTCTCTCTGTTCTTTCTCTTATTTGGAAATATATATTTTATATGTGCAGTACTTAGTAGAAAGTGCTCAATATCTGTAATAACATTCAGCTGTATGGATATTAGTTTGTGACTAGGTTTCACACTTTTGTGATCATCAGACAAACTGGTTTATTTTTTTTAAAAAGGGAATTTATTTATGCTTATTTGTGTTTGATTATTGGTGAGTGTCATGTGTGTCTATGTATGCGAGTGTCATCTGAAACAAACACAGAAAATTCCCTCTGGAATTTTCTGTGTTTGTTTCAGATGACACTCGCATACATACACACATACAAACAGGTGTATGCATTTTAGTTTTGTACAAACACCCATATAAATCTGAGGTTAGGCACAGGTACACATCCATGTGTTTGAGTATATATATATATATATATATCTCGTATAAAAAGGCTCAAACAGTAATACTACATGGTTGTAATTTATTATATTGGAATCGTAATCACGATCTAATTCATCAGACCTACAAATTCAAAAAGTGAATTTGCTTAAAAATGAAACAGAATTAGCTACTTTAATAATTGAATTGGAAGTCTTTAGCTTCTGTTTTTGAAACATGGTAATTCCTGTGTAGCGATGGAATATTTTTAAATAAAATAGTTTTATATATATATTTTAAGTGTGGACTTTTTAAAAATTACTTTCATCATACTCTGTACTAACATGCATACATTTTAGTTTTTGTTGACTTAATGAAGATTCCAAATGCTCAAAGCTGCTTAAAAATAATTTTTATATTTTATTTTGATAATATAATTTAGTGGACCAATTTATGATGAAGCATTATGTATATGTCATGTAAGAGGGACTTGGAAAGAGGAATTGATGAGCTGACTTTTGCACAAATATTCTTGGAAAAGGTATGAATCCATCTCCATAGGTTAAATTTCTGGGTTTATTAGGCATCTCTTAACTAAATTGAATTCAAAAAAACAATCTGAAGTGTGATTGGCACTGTCAAACTCTCTCACCCTAGACACATCACTACTGCTATGGCTGCAGTACTTCTGGTGGCCCCCTACCACCCTAATAGCTTACAGGAATTGTGTATTATTTTATTTATATGGCACTCATTTACAATGAGTTAAGTTACCTAAATAGGCTAAACTAAGTTATAAAAATGATGGTTCCAAATAGTATAACTTGGCTATGCATCTCTGCATGTTTATAAATTAGTTCAGTTTTCATACGCTTATTTCTTGTATGCATTCTTTTTAACTGAATAAGTAATGAGAGCAGCTTTTAGCTTTAATATTTTAAAGTTGCATGAAACTAAATTTAGTAAAAATATAATAGAATTTCTGATGTTCTGATCAATAACCAAACCAAAATGTAGCTTTGTTTTTCTTTCTTTCTAAAACTATTGGACCATTATGTACTTGGATATGTATAAGCTAAATCATTCAAGTGTATAAAATCTTATTTCTGTTAAAATAGTTTCATGGTGCAGAAACAACTTGGAAAATTAATTTCAGAATTAAAAGAGCAAATGATTAATTTCAAATGTGTGAAATTGGAAGGAGCTTTTTTATTAAAGCTCAACATATATTTCTAGTATCTTTGTTTTCCAAAATTATCAAAATACAAAATTATTTTTAATTTGTAAAATATTAGAAATAATCATTCTGCTTTTTTCTTAGTTAACCAAATATTGATTTTCTACAACTGTTTTTCTTTCAGAATTTACCTTTATTTGCTGTTTTGATTGCAGACTACAAACTGAAACTGTTTATTTAAAAAAAAATAATAATAATCTCCCTATTAGATATTGATTCTATTAAAACAGTTTTAAATCTACAAAATTTTATGGTGGAATCTACTACTAAAATTTTTGATGCAGTAAAATATTTTATATTTGATAAATCATAATTGAGTATTATTAGAGAATCTGTTTTAATGAAACCAGAATTTGTGTTATCTTAAATATTAATATGGAAAATTCTGGATTGATATTTCCATTGTAGCAATGCTAGAAAGTATATTTTTAAGAATAAATTCAGCATTAAAATTTGTCTTTTCCAAAGTACATTGTCCTTCTCCATTACAGTAAAATGAAGGTCCTGATAAAATGCCAAATGGTAATGGTTTCTCTTATATTAATCCTAGTTTAAATGTACAATGAAATAACAGCCTTTCAGATTGTATGCTTCTGTTAACAATTGCTAGACATCATTTTTAATATTTATTATTGTAACTTTTAACACTTAATCTTTAAAGTATTAACATGTTTATCAAACTGATAAAATTTACTCATATATATATATAATAAAACACCTACCATTGATAGTAAAAGCTATTTTCATTAGCTATTGAAGTCTGCTTGATTTCAAGGATAAAGAGATATGACTGATGTCCTCATCTTTGTTGTTCCATTTTTGATCATTATGCAAGTGTCTTTTAACCTGGGTAATGTTTAAGAAATTTGGAACTGCTTATGTCTAAGGATATCTCATCTTAGTTAACTGTCCTTTTAGTACTGTTATTGTTTGTCCAATTTCTATACCGTGCTTCTCAAGAATTACAATGCCACCAAATTCACTAACCAATGCTTTAATTCTGTAGGCCGTTGTCCCATAGGACAGACACCTGAAGAAAACCCAGAGGACACCATGTCTGAAAGTTGTAATAAGATGAGGATATTAGTCCAATTGTACCTAATATAAACTATTTAATTCCAAGTGTCACTGGGGTAACTATATGTCAAATTTATCTGAGGCTAGTGAATATCTGCACTCTTCAGTAGTTACTCACCTTCTTCAAAAACTTATGAACTCAAGAAGGAATGAAAATTTGCTATGCCTTCAAATTTCATTTATCCTTTTGCAATTAAAAATGATTCATTTTCAGGTCCTGTTCTCATAACATTTTTGCATATATAGTACTATAAAAAAAAAACAAGGTTACCCATTCCAATCTTGCTTTATGACTCTCCAATTGTTTAATACTACTTGTAATCCATTCTATATTCCATTAGATTATCGGTATGTTTATCAGAGAATGACTGACAAATCTTTTTGTAATCAACTCTCAAAACTGATTCACCAAATCAACTGGTCCAAATTTGCAGACAGTTAAGTTCTTATTTGATACTAGTGAACAAAGTTGGTAAAAATATCCAGTGGAAGAATAAATTCTTAGGAATTCTCACTAGAAATGTGCCAGTAAACCTGTTGATATTTTGCTTAGAATTTTAAAACAAATACCAGTGAAAAGACATCAAGATAAAAGTTTATATGGTTTGAAAGATTTTTGTTTTGGACAAATGTAGTACATTTAAGATGGCAGGCATTTCTTTTGAACTGGGGTTGGTAATTGAGAAGAAAATGTTAAAAGTCAAGGCAGTGTGCTTAACTACAAGTCACATTTCAGAAGAGGAGATGAACTAACAAGCTTGAAAAGAGAAATCTCAAATAAGATATTGGTTCTGATCTGACTGAACAGTAAATTGAAATAACAACTATAAGTAATTTCATATTTGGCCCAGTAAGTGAAAATAAAACACTAGTAGATGAAACTTTTAATCTCTTGAAGCACACAACATTGCATAAATCTTGCTAACCTGGTTTACTTTTATTTTAAAGGAAGTGATGAACTCATTAATATTAAGGAGAAAATTCTAATCCCTTTCTATTTTGCATTCATTTTGTAAGTTCCATTAACAATGTTATAAGTTCAAATGAATCTGCCATGAATTAATTTAAGTAAAGTAACACTGATTTTTAAACCAAGAAAAGATTTTTCTTGTCAGTGTAATACATAAACATTTGATAACCACCGACATTTAGTAAATTTAGAAGAGAAAAGATAACACTTGTGCATAAAGGCAAATCAATTATTACATATATTTTAAAGGGAGTTACATTTGGGAAAAAAAAAAGATGTATTTGAATTTTCCAGAAGAAAAGTAACTCAGCCTTATAAAAAAACAGTTTTAATAGAATACACAAGTAAATGTTTTCCTTCTAATGTGGTATGAAATTAAAAGCAAAATTTCATTGAAAATATATACAAAATATTTTATTAATTTTATCTGTACATGTCATGAATTATGAGAATCATTGTCCACTTAGAGATCAGTTTTCCCCTTTTAAGTCAGCCATGATACTAGCCTTTTTGAACTTCTTTTTAGGAATTTCTGGAATGAAAGAAAAAAAAAAGAAGAGTAATTTTAAAAACAGGAAGTAATTGTAATAATAAAAGAATAATGGCAAATAAATACAAAAACAATAAATATGCTACATATGAATGGTATGTTTTCACATTTATTAATATCAATTTTTTTATTTTTTTTTTTTTTTGAGTGTATAGATCTTCACAGATTCCTTCTCTTTTATCTTTGAAATATTCTATATTCTTGGGAAAAGATAGTGGAGTTGTTTCTCATTACCAGCTCCAGTTTTGAATTCAGAGTAGCTCTTCTTTTATACTGGTTGGCATCTAAAGCATAAAGAGTCCAGTCTACTGATATTTTAACCCATAGCTGATGAGAGAAAAGGTAACTTTATGCCTTTCACTCTAGTGCCCTTGAGAATGGAACAGTCTAGCCTGGAATTTGGATTGTCACTTTCTGTGCCAATATTCATTACACTATAAGATCATAAATGAGGCATAAAAGCAAAATTATATTCAATGCTTTGATGCATATTAATCATCATCTGCAAATTATTTCTATTCTTCACCTGTTGCATTATTTTGTATAATCATCCTTGCAAACTGCATGATCTTCATCCTTTCTGAACTGTTTGTTCTTAACAGGAGCTGAGAGTCAGTTTAATTTAGGGACCTCCACAAAAACTTGATACCTAACATTTAAAATGAATTTTTAATAATGAAAAATCTTTCTTGAAGCTTTTATTTTAGTTTTAATATCAAGCTGAAAGATTAAATTTACTCTTTCCAATCAGCAAAATACTATGCTGTATTTCAAAACTAATTGAAACTGAAAGAAATTGTTTTTTGAAATTTCTAAAATTTTTGATTCTGGCACCATTTTTAGCAGTGTTATAAAAATGTAAATCTCTTTATTAAAAATCTTCCAAAAATAAAATATACTTTTGAGGAATATTAGTTGATTTAAAGTATAATTAATCTGATTTGAAACAAATATTATTTTTTTAAAGTTTAAAATATCAGAGAAATGCATTTTTTCAACTCGATGGTAGCTTGTTTATTTATGGTGACAGGTTTGTGACCACTGATGACAAATAGGTTATTATTGCAATGTTGTTCTAAGGGTGCTTTAATCTTTTAAAAAAATTGAGGAATATAATAAGAACACCTTTTAAGTAGTTAGTAATCTTAAAAATTAAAGAAAATATTCTCCGTAATCTAATGTTTTATTAAATTTTGGCTTTAAATTTGCTATAGGTGTCTCTCTTATTTTCTGATAGTGTCATGTATGGACATCCATATCTATAAAATTTGGTACATTTTTACACATATAAAAACAAATCAAAATTTTTTTAAGAATATTTGGGCATATCAGATTGTAATAAGCCTTACGATATATTAGTAAATACATTCTTACTTAATAACAATCTTTCATAAGAGTTACACCATTGAAACTGAATTTTAAAAATATAAATTATTCTAATTAAAATTAAAAAAAATGAAAATTTTTTTTAAAAATTCATTTTTCATTGAAAATATTTTTTCTTAAGACACTATTGTCCTTAACATATATTATTCATAAAAGTAATTAAAAGCTTCTCTAAATAAATAATGTCTTAGTTTTATTGCATTTTTATACTTTTTGATTCAAAGCAGATTTGGTCTGATCTTGGGGGGGAAAAAAAAAAATCAGTGATTTAAATTCTTCAAAGAATTCTGCTTTTAAATAGTAAAAATTATATGGAATTTCTCAAGTTTAAATAAAATTAAGTAAGGGTGTGAAACACATGTAAAAAAAAAAAAAAAAATTCAAAAATAATTTCTTTCATTTGTAAATAAATACTGAAAATTTCATTAAAATCAATTATTTGATTTTTACAAGAATTTCCAAATTAATGTCTGTCACTGCAAAAAAGAGACTAAAATTTGCTATGCTAAAAGTTAGTACATCCACTGATGCAAGAAAAACAAGATTTTTAATCAAAAGTTTGAATGTTCTAGGAAAAGGGTGCGAACAAAGAAAAAAAGGATAAAAAAAAATTTAATTAAATATTTAGAAAGTACTTTGATCATTCCACTTAATAATAAAGATTTTGATGATAAAATTGTTTTCCTTACATTTATAGCATGTTTTCAACACGGTATGCCGAGTTTTTAGGCATTTTGTTAGGGTACCTAGTTTAATTGCAGATTAAATAAGGCTTAATATGCATAAACTTTTATTGTGATGAGAATAAGTAAGATTTAGCTTGCAGTCCCACTGGGGGGAAAAAAACCCTTGGGGATTATGTTTCATTTAGATCTTTGGAATGATAAATCACCAAAAATTTGACTAATCAAGGATTGACACTGAAGAATCTGTAGAAAGTCTGACAGTTGAAGTTTATTAGTTTGAGATGGAAAATATGTGACTCTTCTTCCTCCTATCAGCAGATAAAGAAAAGAATCTTTTTGTTACATGATTTTTAAAATACACATTTGTTTTTCCTTTTATAAAGTCCTGTCTACATTTTTTTATATTACTGTTTGTATTTTCCTTTTGAAACACTCATTTGTATTTACTGATAAATGACAAAGCAAGTGAGGAGTCTACATTTATTTTAAACAGTCTTTTAAAAGGACAGGAAACTGGAGAGCCATGATTGAACACATCCTGAAGAGACATGGTAAACAGAAGAAGAATCTCAGATATCTTTGTCTTAGATAAAAGAAGAATACTGATAGTAATTATTTTGCTAAAATCTGGAGACAACCAGAAATACCATAAATGGTTCAGATCATTAATTTAGAAAAATATTTACAACAAAGAATTACATGTAAGTACCAAAGTAAAAAAAAAAAATAAAATAAAATAAAATGTTAACTTTATTGAATATTCTGTGTACAACCACCTTTCCTGGGAAATGATACCAGTCATTTTACAGTTACCTTCCTGTGTTTGTTTTGTCTGGTTTCTACATATTGAGAGCGCTTCACATTGCCTAGCAACCCATGCACAAATGCACAAGCCAGCATACAGTCATTCATCCCATCCAACAAGAATGCAAGTTTCTTCAATTCAACCAGGTATACATCCATGGATTCACCATACTGTAGGTGCCACTCAATGAGCTGTTTGTATGCCATAAACAAATACGTAGTAAAGGCCGTAACTAAGACAGCTCATTGTGGAAGAGGACAACTCTTGGTGCTTACAGCACCACAAACAACCAACTCAGAGTCTTTTATCGGGCTGACCCAATTCTATTACACTTCCTTAAGATACTTACAAAAGTAGTAGTCTTAAAGGTAACTAAAATTAAATCTAATATTTGACATACAATGTTAAACTGAAGTTTTTTGTTGAAATAATCAGAAATAAGTCAATTGTAATTTTTTTTGTTTTTTTTAATGAGGAATATTTTTTAAAAGAAAAAATCTGTTCTGAATCAAAATAAAAAAAACAATAAAACTAAGACATTATTTAGTCAAAGAGGCTTTTAATTGCTTTTATGAATTATATATATTAAAGACAATATTGTCTAAAGAAGAAAAAAAAATTTTCAACAAAAAATGAATTTTTACAAGATTTGTTTAATTTTTTTTACTATTTTAAATTGAATAATTTATAAGGTTTTTAAATCTTTTAAAATTCATTTTCAATGAGATAATTCTTTGGAAATATTATTAAGTAAAACTATTATTTACTAATCATATATTGTAAAGCTTATTACAATCTGCACTTGAACATTAATTTGTTTTTAGTGAGAAAAAAAAAAACAATATAAAAAAGTTAATTACACAGCCCATAGAGAAACTAACGTTAAAGTTTCATGTTTTGAAAAAAGTTATCTACCTAATATAACAACGCTAGAAACAATACTATTTACAAGTGACAAGTCAATTAACAAATTCTCTATTACTTTGGTATAAAATATGAAATTAGTAAAAACAAAAAATTGATGACATGTTAAAATATAATTTTAATGTATTAAAGATTATTTTTAAAAGAGCATAATTATCTTATTGGGTTACGTAAGGCTGTATTTATGACATTGAAAATATTGTGGAGAAGATGTGCCAAAAAATATAAAAGGGAACTTTTGCAATTAACTTTTCAGATTTGCTGTATGTAAAAAAAGAAAAACAGATTGAACTAAAAAAGATTTTTAAACTTCTCATAATTAATGCTGTTTATTCATTTAGTTAAAATGTTTCCCTCAATCCTTTTAAGAAAAAGATTTGTTTTTTTTAGGTCAGTATATTCTTTGTAATGTGTTCTACTCTACAGATATTTATGAACAATTAATGCTTGTAAATATTATTTTCATAAATCATAATCTTTTAAGGAGCAATGTTAATTCTTGCACATTATTTTATTTTTATTTATCGCTAGAAAATATTTAAAACCTTTTCTGCTGAAGCAGTATCAATGTAGAATTTTGAAACATTACAAGACAAATGAAAGAATCTGCAGAATATACATAATATATATTGTCTACAGGCTGCGATGGATAAATTGTCGTCTAAATTGCACAAAACGAAAATAACTGGTTTTATGTTATCAGATATAAAGGGTGCGATGGATAAATTGTCGTTTAAATTGCACAAACCGAAAATAACTGATTTCATGTTATCAGATATAAATGGTGCGATGGATAAATTGTCGTCTAAATTATGCAAAAATGAAAACACTGACATTTCATTTTAGCAGATATAAAGGGTGCAATGTAGACAAATTGTCGTCTAATTTGCACAAAAACGAAAATAACACTGACATTTCATTTTAGCAGATATAAAGGATGCAATGGATAAATAGTCGACTAAATTATGCAAAAACGAAAATAACACTGACATTTCATTTTAGCAGATGTAAAGGGTGCGATGGATGAATTGTCGTCTAAATTATGCAAAAAATGCAAAAACAAAAACAAAAAACAAAACACTGACATCTCATTTTAACAGATACCTTGAAATACTAAAAAGTAAATTTATTCAATAAAATTGCCATTGACTTTAAATATTTTAATTCATTCAGTTAAGTTTTAGTTTTTATTTTGTTATATAAACTGTTTATAAATGAATTCTATCTTTATCTCTGTTGCACATTTTGTAGAAAAGTAATTTATTTGTCAATTTGTGTTTTGATGAGGTTAAAGAAAAAATGAACAAACTTTATAACATAGTTGGTAACTGCAACAATTATACTTTCCATTTTTGATAAAGATAAAAGATTTAAGGGAGATAATTTCTTTTTTATAATAATCTATGAAGTACATGTATAGGGTGCAATGGATAAATTGTCGTTTAAATTAAGTAAAAATGGAAATAAAACTGACATCTTATTTTAACAAATATATTTACCAAAATTACACAAAAATACCTTGAAATACTAAAGAGTAAATTTATTCAATAAAATTGCCATTGGATTCAACCACTGCCTCGGATGTCTTTGGAATCTCCTGCATCTCTTCTGGACAGTTGGTGAATGGTGCCATAATCCTTGCCTTCAGTTCATCTTTACTGTTACAAGGCGTTTTGTTAGTCACTCACTCAACTGCACCTCATACATAATAAATCAATGAGGTTGCAGCCTGAGGAGTTAGGTGGCCAGATGTAAGAGGTGATGTGGTTGCAGAAACTGTATGACAGCGATGACTGTGTTCTCCTGCTTGTGTGGCATGGTGCAGAGTCCTGTTGCCAGACATAGGGTCTTCCAGCAGCCACCCACTTGACCCAGGGGAGCAATACCTCCTCAAGGCATGATGTAGGCAGAATGTTGCCATCAATAGTGATCACTCCAAAAACTTTTGTAATCACTCTTTCCAAATCCTCCGCACTGTCATCAGATTAACACCCAAACAGTCTGAAATGTTCATATTGGAGCTTGCAGTGCAAATGCTAAGCAGTACAGCATGCATTTCTAAATTTCTGGCAGAGTGAATTGTGTCATGGTGATCTTTTCCTCACAGATGGTGCCCAACTGACTGTATGATTGTGTGCTGTTGACAAAATCAAAAACAACGTGCATATGAAAAAGTAAAAATATAAAATGGTGACAATTTACCATCGCACCCTGTATATTCTCCTTTATACAATAAACGTCTTTTATAAAACAGAAAAACCCTTTTCTTTCTCCATGCAGTAAGAAAAAACTGAGAATTAAAATTCAGTAATAAGCTTGGCTTCCAAAAAGAAAAAAATTATAAACTGAAACAAACCTTCATAAAAATGTTCAGCAGTCTTTTTACGCAGTTCATCTATACTTTGCTCAACTTCAGCCCATTCCAGCCATGCAGTGGCCAACCAAACGGCGACCATACAAATGTGTGCTGTGGCAAAAGAGCATTGAAAGCTCTCTGAAAATGCAAATGAGAAATAAATGATATTGGGAGGTGTAATTGACTTTTACATGTATTAAAAGAAGTAAAGACAATTGTGAAATTCTGGGACTGACAAATAATGAAGTGTTCATTTTCTTAATGGAAAGATATTGTCTATAAGAAGGCTGTAGAATGAATCGGCTGAACAATAAAAAAAGTGACACTAAGAAACAATTCAATATTCTAAATGTTTAAATATATACAAATGCTATTCAGATTCAAAATGACAGTAAAAAGTTAAGAATTGTCTGTAAATAACTGACTTTTTTGATGGCTTATCAATCTTTTGTAGGTTATTTAAAGCCAAAACATTTTTTGATTGCAAGATTAACTTTTTTTGCAAGTGAATATTGTATTAAAAATTTCTTGGATATAATAATTTTGAGATACAAGTCCTATTATTTAACCCAGTGATTCTCAATGTTAATTTGATATTTCTAATTTATGTATATCATTATTCTAATAATGTATTTATAATTTTTTCAGACCAGTTGTAAAAATGTCTGAATCAACGGCTAATATCAACTGATTTTGATTTTGATATCCTATGTTTATCTTCGTTTACTAAAATAAATTTTAAATTTTTATCTTTTCTCTGAATATTTTAATGTGAAAACTGAACAGCCTAAAAGTAAAAGTAGGAGTAGTCCATCTGAATTTTTTAAGAAAAAAAAAAATTGTCCATGGTTTGAAAAAGGTTGAGAAGCACTGATTTAACCTATACATGGAGGGTAAAAGAGGTAGATTCATTACCATTCCCAAAAGTATTTGTGAATAAGAGAATGTAATAAACATAACTGGAATTCAAACTCAGTTCCCTGATTTTTCATTAAAATATCCAAGCTTACAGCACCTGGTATTCCCAAGTGGTCACCCATCTAGGTAGTAACCAGGCTTAACTTCAGTGACTGAATGAGAACTTGTGTCTCAACAGGATATGGCCGTAAGACATTTGTCTATAAAGAAATAATTTATACTAAATTAAGAGAAAATGTAAAAGTCCATTTCTGCCTAAACCCCATCGGAAAATGAAAGAAGGAATAATGGATAGTTGTAATGACTGTTGTGTCAGGTGTTTCTACCTGCAACATGAATAATTTTTAGAAGACCAGTAAGCCAAACTAGATTTTTATATACAGAACACAGACACAATCAAATTAGGGTACAAGGTATTATTGCAATGGACCAAATCTAGAATCAGACTGGTCTCCAATTGCATTTAAATGACAAACGTGAAGTTCATAGAAATTTTCAGGTCATTCTCTGAAATTGGTTAGAAGCAATCACTCAATTCCAATTCCAAAGTAGAATGATTATTGAAAACTTCTTGACTGAATTTTGTGAGACAAACTGTTTTAATCCCATTGTACGAGGTTTGGCTTAAAAGTTCATAGGCTGAACAAGGCATTCTCATATAATGTGACCAAATTAGGTTTACTTTTTAATATAGTCTCCTTTGTGTTCCACACTTCTTCTATTGGTGTTGCAGTAATTTCTTAGACTTGAATGTCAACAGAATAAAAAAGAGGTCATAGTGACAACTTTCTTTTTTATGATTGACACTTTTTGACAATTGTTGAAAGGGAAAGGTTATGATTTCTCCTTAGGCTATCTGTACACTCTGGCATTTCCCCTAACCTATGTCTCTTGGAGGTCATAGTTACATAACCATCTACACATAATGTGACACATAACAAAAGAGCAGTTTCTTCTGGTTCTATGACTCACCTTGGCATCATGGCGGCTAACAAAGTCAACAAAACCAAATCCTCGATGAGGTCCAGTTCCAACAAGTTTCTTTGGTAAACGAACAATTTTCAGTTCTCCAAAAACACTAAAATAAAAAAAAAAAAGAAAAATAATCAACATTTACAGAGGTAACCTTTAAATCTGCTTTAAATTCACTGAAACAATTTCTCGATCTGCCTCAAACAATATCAGATTTTCTCGTGATGTGATCAGCCTGATGCACTTTTGATCAGGTGTCAGAGGAAGTACATTGTGCAGAATATTTTCAACTCTCAGGGGATATGATAATAGCATTGGCTATTTGATTATATGAAAAAAGTCAATGAAAAAAGAAAAATAATCAACATTTACAGAGGTAATCTTTAAATCTACTTTAAATTCACTGAAACAATTTCTCAAGTAGCATTTCTTTCAACTATTATTAACATTACTAATGAGAAAAGAAGACCAAATCTCTCATATGTAACATTACATTCAACTCCATATTTCATCAATTATTACAGGTAAGCAGATGTGTGACCCCCAGAATCTTTGCCAAACATGGATTCTACATCTTGCCATGATATGAATGACTCTTCACTCTGGGGTGGGTATTTATATATCTACCCATCATATGTTTTTCTCCCCATGCATCTTAGGTGTAGCTGAGTCAATCACAGTTTAACATGTTGGCAGCGGTCATTGACATTCAGCGAAGAGCAGATCTTCTAGGTTTCTTTAATGGCCTGGTGTGACAAGAAGTGCAAAATCTATTCTTGCATCATCTGAGATGAGCCACATACCACATTAAATATAAGTTACTTTTTTTTTGGCTTTCTGCTGATTAAATTTTTCTTTTTCCTATAGCGAAGTTTATTGTACACAGATGTCCTTCTTCAATCTCTTTTTCATAATCTGATGGCTTATGTCTCAAGAATTGTAAAAATAACTTGGGTATAAATGATTTATTTAAATCCCTTATTAAACTTATAAAGAAAAATCATAGTTAAATAAATGTTTAAGCAATGCTGTAATAAATTCCAGTTTCATTACTGAATTTAAGCAGCATTTTCTGTTGTTTATTCCAAAAAGATGACTAACTGAAAAATTCTCATGATGTCACATAAAAACACTAACTTTACGTTTGGCAGTGGCAAAGCAAAACCATGAAGGTTATTTAAGAGATATGTCAAAGTTAATATTGCAGTTGAATTTCAAGTCCTTGCAGCTACAAACTGAAGCAATATTCTACTCAGTTAGATGAATTTGTATACATTATTAACACAATGTTAAAAGTTCAACAGATTTGCAACCATACCTGAATAATTCCTTTATTTCTTTCTTTGTCGCCTGGAATGGAATATTGCGTACTAAAATCTTTGAAGTTTTTTGTTTTTTCTTTTCTTGTTTCTTATGGCCCTCAACTTTGTTTTGCCTGTTAACAAAAAGATTCAATAATTTGAAAGCTTATATAGTGATTTCATCTTGAAAGAAAATTATCTTCTAATCTCTCCATTCACAAATTCAATGCTACTGAATAATAGAATAAATAATCTGTACAGTAGCATAAGTTTTGTTTTCATATCTGGAGATGATTACAGTAAATCAAATTTAGTAGAATGTGTCACTAATATAACCATATTTAATAAACATTTATAACAGTTTTATCAGGTAATACCATTATTTTGTTTACGTAAAAGATTCACTATAACACATTGAATATATTCAAAACTAGCAGGTTTTGCCTACTTGCTATCTAGTTGTTTTTCTATGGGATTAATTTATGAAATGTTGAAGGGGTTGTGGACATTCAATATATTTGAATATTATTATTATTATTATTATTTATATATTTTTGTTCAAAGAATATGACTGTAAAGACAGATGAATTGGTCGAGTGGAGGCAGGCTTGTTATAGTTAAGGAAGGTTTTACAAATAGATGTCAACTTGTTGAAAACCAAGTAAAATACAAATTTCAAACACTTTTCTGCACTATATAAGACAATATTCTTAAACAGAACTATTTTTGATATGAAAATCAAACCAATCCTCAAATAAAGGGAGGGAACTGTTAAATATCGTGTAGCTTTTTGAGTTAGGTACAAATCTACTTATCATCTCTCAGTTGCGTCTGTCCTTGGACAGGAATTTTTGTTCCTGTCCTGGGTGTATGTGCTCAGGTCGCCACATAAAAATAGACCTTGTGTCACATCTCGACCTAGTGGTATGTGTGTGTGTGTGGGGGGGGGTACAGAGTAAATACTGTGTAAATTACTATAGAGTTGACTTTTAATTTCATAATTCATAGGAGAAATGAGCTCCAAATTCACATTTATTCATAGAGATAGTTAACCATCCAATAAATTGCAAAGACTCAGAACAAAAAATAGCATAAATTATAACTTCCAAATGATTAATTAAACTCATGGCTAGCATGAAAAAAAATTGTACATCAGTTGTGAAAAATTCAAATATACATATAAAGGGTAAATTGTCACCATTTTATATTTTCAATTTCTCACATGTGTGTTTGTTTTTATTTTGTTGACTGAGGGTCAATTGGGTGAGAAAAAAAGCAGCATAACACAATTCACTCTGCCAAAAATTTGGAAGCAGCATGCTGTACTGCTTGGCATTCGTGCCAGAAGGTCCAATACGAACATTCTGAAATGTTCGTATTGGAGTCTAATGATGATTACGAAAGTACAGCAGCTGGGAAAACTCACTCTGATCATTCTGATAAGAAAAGAACTCCCAAATTTGTTGGTGAAGGCCTCAGACTCAACATGGAGGCCTACATCAAGTGCCTTGAGGAGGAAGTGCTGCCCTGGGTCAAGAGGGTGGCTGCTGAAAGACCTTATATCTGGCAACAGGACTCTGCACCAAGCTGCACAAGCAGGAGAGCTCAGTCATGGCTGCCAGACAATTTCTTCAACCACAATACCCCTTACATCTGGCCACCTAACTCCTCAGACTGCAACCTCCTTGATTTATTATGTATGGGGTGCAGTTGAGTGAGAGACCAACAAAGCTCCTTGTAATAGTAAAGATGAACCGAAGGCTAGGATTATGTCCACATTCACCAACTGTCCAGAAGAGATGCAGGAGATTCCAAGGTCATCCGGAGGCAGTGGTTGAATCCAATGGTCATTTTATTGAATAAATTTACTCTTTAGTATTTCAAGATATTTTTGTGTAATTTTGGTAAATATATTTGTTAAAATGAGATGTCAGTTTTATTTCCATTTTTGTGTAATTTAAAACGACAATTTATCCATCGCACCCTGTACATGTACTTCTTCATAGATTATTATAAAAAAAGAAATTATCTCCCTTAAATCTTTTATCTTTATCAAAAATGGAAAGTATAATTGTTGCAGTTACCAACTAGGCTATAAATTTGGTTCATTTTTCTTTAACCTCATCAAAACACAAATTGACAAATTACTTTTCTACAAAATGTGCAAGAGATAAATATAGAATTCATTTTTAAACAATTTATATAACAAAATAAAAGTAAAACTTACACTGCATGAATAAGTAAAAGAATTGTTATTTGAATATAGTTATTTTTCTGAAACCTCAAAATGTTCATTCTGCAACTTAATAATTTTTAAGATTTTTTTGTTCAAAATCTTTTAAAAATAGTCGAGTTTGTCAGATTGTAATAAACTTTAGCATATCTGACTATGTTACTTAATAACAATATTTTCTGAGAATTATCTCATTGAAAATGAATTTTAAAAGATTTGAAAACTTTATAAATTATTCAATTTAAAATAGTAAAAAAAATGAAAAAAATCTTATTAAATTATTAAAAAATATATATATAAATATTATTTATAAAAGCAATTAAATGCCTCTCGAATTAAATAATGCCTTAGTTTTATTGTTTTTTATTTTTTGATTCAGAACAGAATATGGTTATTTAAATTCTTCAAAGAATTCTGCTTTTAACTAATATAGTCACTAAAAAATTATCTTATTGAACATCAAGTTTTCATAAAATTAAGTAAGGGGTTGAAACACGTATAAAGGAAAATATATTTTTACCAAGATTTTCTAATAAAAAAATTTTTTTATTCATTTGTGAATAAGTCCTAAAAATTTCCTTTAAAATCTGACAATTATTTAACTTTTGCAAAAATTTCCAAATTAATGTGTCTGTCACTGCCAAAAAGTGGCGAAAATTTACTATGCTAAAAGTTAATACAACTGCTGACACAAGAAAAACAAGTTTTTTTTAATCAAAATTTCCAATGTTCTAAAAAGGAGTAAAAATGTTCAAAGTATTTTTTGATTATTTAATTAAAATAATAAAAAAAATACTTTGATCTTTCCTCTTAATAATAACATAATGATTTTGACAATAAAACTATCTTTTCATTCTGATTTTTTGACGTTTTCATGGAGGTACAATATAAAGAATATTTTGTGCACTTACAAAGAAACTCTGTTTGAAATCTTAATTTCAAGTTGATGTCCATCAAGTTCTATGTGTTGTAATTTTTTCATAGCTTTATGTGCTGACTGGCTTTGTTTGTATTCCACAAATCCATAACCCATAGAAAGCATTTGACCTGCAAGAAACAACAAAACAAATAGAAAAATGGTTCAAAACAAACTGGAAACAAAAATTTAAACCTGTTTGAAAGATTGAGGTTTTGAAAATAATCTGATTTATATGAATTTTCTTTTTAAAATATAACTTTTTGTATTAAAAACTTTATAATTATTTATACACTGCTGGCCCAAATTAATTCTAATTACTTATATTGTTTCCCTGCTTGCCTGATACAATTTAATTTTTGCCCCTCTTTCTTTCTATTGCAAATATTATTAACTCTGTTTAGCTAGACAGTTGCGTTATTTATTTTGCATTTGGACCATGACTTCTATCTTAACATATGTAGTCAGAAGCTCCAACAAATACACTGCTGGCAAAATGAAAATAAAGGAAAAATAGACCTTTTGTGTTGTTAGGTTCAACCACTTATTTAAGTAGGGCTTCAAAAAATTAAAATAAGAAAAGGAAAAATAAAAATTAAAAACATTTAATAGAGAAAATTTGTATACTGGGAAGTTAGGCTAAATATTAGCTTTAATTGACAAACATGTAACAAAATTTAGTCATTTGGGTTCAAGCATTAGCACGGTCAACATTTCCCACTAGTATTTCCTGTGTTACGTTAGGTAAAAACATGGCAAAGGTTAAAAGGTTGTCAGAATTTGAATGTGGCAGAATTATCAAGCAGCAAAAGCAAGGTTCTCTCAATGTGCTATTGCTGATGAGATTGGATATAGTAAAACTGCTGTTACAAATTTCTTAAAAGACCCTGTGGAATATGAAACAAGAATTTCAAGTGGTCAACCCCCAATTTTTGCCAGCATTGACCAGGAGGAATTGACATATTGTCTGGCAAGACACCACCCCATCATCGAACCAGATTAAGGCCCTTACAGATACAGAATTCAATTCAAGAATAACATGGTACCTCCAAGAGAATGTCTTTAAAAATCGTAAATGTCTTCAAAGTTCACATCTCCTTCTACACTACAAAACAGCTTGGTTAAACTTTGTTGAGAAGGGCCAAGCATGGGACATTGAAGAAGAAGAAGAAGAAGGTTTTGCCTTTTTGTCTGGATGGTCCAGGTGCTATTATCTTCCAAAGAATAGAGCTTCAAGTTATACCACAGCATCAAACTGGGACTGGTTTCATTGGCATACTGGAGAGAGAATCCTTATTGAATGAAGACCCTTGCTTGTGTGGAAATGAGTGGATCTTTCAGGATAATACTGCAATCCATAATGCCAGCAGGACAAGGAGAATAATGTGATTCTTTTGGACCTGAATCCCACTGAAAATATTTGAGGGTGGTTGGCAAGGGAAGTCTATAGAAAAAGACAACAGTGCATCATCTTTGTGAAGCCATTACCACCACTTGGAATAACATACCAGCCACCCTAAGCAGACAATTATAATTACCATGGTAAAGCAAATTTTTGGAGTTATTCACAATGATGGCTGTGCAACTCATTACTGAGACATTTTGTTAGGTATTTCCTACTCTGTTTAGGACTTCTTTTAGGCAGGGTCTTAAACTTTTGACCAGCTAGTATTTCACCTAATTTCCCAGTATTCAAATTTTCCCTATTACATTCTAAAAAAGGTTTATATTTTTATTTTTCCTTTCCTTATTTTCACTTTTTGAAGCACTACTCAAATGAGAGTTTGAGCCTAACAACGCAAAAGGTATATTTTTTTTATTTTCATTGGATTTTGGCCAGCAGTAAATAATATATATATATATATATATATATATATATATATATATATATATATATATATACCCACCCACAAGTAATTGTCATTTCAAACAAATTTATTATCTTTGTAACTCAAAACTATATTAACAAGATGCTAAAGAACCCAGTCTTCCCCTAGTAAGACAGAAGAAATAGATCCATACCTTTCCCAAGGGTAGTTATGCGAAAGTAAATGCAATAATCACAGCTGAAATTGAAATCAGCATGCTGCTCCCACTTTCTGGGCTGATAACTGATACACTATGCACACATTTATATATATATATATATATATATATATATATATATATATATATATATATATGTATGTATGTATGTATGTATGTATGTACATACATGTGTAAAAATGAAATTTCTTGAATGCAATTTAATTCTTAATGGTAAAAGCTAATCAAATTTGAAATTCCCTCATCCAAACAATTATTATTCACTGGTTTATATAAAACATTTTAAATACAGATTGTTGGTCAATTTTGATCCAAACGTCGCTGAAATATTTAGAAAATGCATGCTATTTGCACTGATTCCTTAATCAATACAAATTCTATTCACATCCAATAATTTATATGAGAAGGTTTTTTTGTTTTTTTTTAAATCCAGTAATTAAGAGAGAGAAATAAAAAGAAAGGAAGACAACAGAAAAAGACAGTTGTACCATTATAGAATGACATCATTATTAAATCACGTTTTTGTTATATAGTCATGATAGAATAACATTTTATTTATTTTATTTTTAATGTACTGTGTTCATTTGTCTGGATTGGTGTATTTAATTTTATGGATTTTATTTTATTTTTTTCATTTTTCAGTGAAAAAAAAAAAAAAAAAAAAAAAAAAGAGAGCAGGCAATAAATTTTTGTAATGTTAGTTGTACCAACATTAAAAAAAAACGTTATCGCCTCCGCTATCTTTTCTTTCTCACTGAAACCCAAAATCATCTCTGATGTCTTTTCCATCTTTCCACTTGATCAAAACAGAATAGTCCATTATGTACATACTAACATAATGTACATACTAACAATGTAGGATCATACAAAATTATAATATATTTAGTCATGTTGGTTGATTTAATAAAAAATAAATAAGCCAAAGTTACATACCTTTGTTTTTCAAATCTTTCTTTCGAGCTACAATAACATTTCTGATTGGACCAGATTGCTCAAACACCTATAATACATAGAATCATTTTCACATTTGAAAGTAAAGATTAATATAATAAAAGTAGAAAGAATTCCTAAACAAGCCAGAAAATGGTGAATATATTCCGATATGTACACCTAAATATAATTTACATTTAAGATGAAGAAGTGTTATAAAGAATAGAAACTCATTACTTTAACTTTATTCTTTTCATACATCCATATCAATACCTTAATCTAGAGAAGAAACTCAGTAATAGAAATAAATTGTATTAATGGCAAAATATTTCAATCACAGCTGGGACCCTAACAAGTGCCACCACCCTGGGTCAGGGTGGACCTGGAAATGCCAGCAACCAAAAGGCAGTTCCATGCTCCTCAAAACCCCTTGACCAGAGGATTTGCTGTCAAATGCAGTTCATCATCCCAACCAGGACGCAGATGCAGTTTATCGTCATACCCAGGACGGTCAAAATTTAGTGTTAAATAAATCAATACGTAATCTATACATGATAATATTTAAAATGAAAAATGTAAAAGGCTGCTTGTCTGTCGTATAAAAAGAGAAGGAAATTGTTTTAGGTTTCATGGCACAGATCAAATTCACTAAAGATTATTTTTTTTATATAATATATTTTATAAAGGAGCAACTGAATTATATTAAGAAAAAATTAAGTTAGTAATTCATAAAAATTAAAAGCAATATAGAAAAGATCAATTTTTGAAGAACTGACGTGATATACGAAATAAAATTTACAAAATGGATGCTTACTTCTTTCAGTGCAGTTTCGGTTGTATCAAAATTCAGGTTTTTGACAAAAAGGACACTTTCTGGTTCAATATCACTGTCACCATCTGAAGAGTCATCATTTTCTTTCTAAACAAATGAAACAAAATATTAACAAAAGCAAAACAATGTCAAATGGTCACAAATAAAATGTAATTAACCAAAGCTAGTAGAATTTTCAGACACATGAATTTCTTTTAAATGTGACCAATGAATTGTAACTTTCTTAAATTGATAATCATCTTACTAAGAAATGGTTATAAAAATTTTCTCTTTTATTATGCACATGATTTAAGCTAAACATTTATTTTAAATGGTCACTATTCCTGTTTATAATTCATTTATTAAATTATTCGATTATTCTGAAATAAAAAAAATGTTATCTTTATAATATAATTTAATTTTGTTTATCTTAAAATAATATTCAATTCTTATGACAAACATGGAATAAAATCAAATTTGGATTTACTTTTAAAATTATTATCATTATTTGTTAATTTGTGCTTCATTTATTTTTGTTGATATTTTTTAGAGTGGAAAAAAAAAGTTTGTCATTTATAAGAAAAGTAAATTATGAAGTTTGATAAAATAAAAAATTATTAAAGGATATATAATGTGCAGATGTCAAATATATTGGCTTATTCTTTTTTCTTCTTCTATATGCTATCTAAGAACATGGGTGATCAAGGCTGTTAGGGGAAGCTAATTTACTTCCTCTATAAAGGATGATAACTCAAAATACAATTGAGTTACTTCCCTTGTCTTAGAAGTCAAGCGCAACACTTCTAAATTAAACATGGTGACAACCAGACATGCATGTGGAATTCATGGTTTCAATTCAAACAAATCCTTGCTGTTCTCACACAGTAAATGAATAAAGGTTGTTTTATTATGTGCTAAAATATACTTGTCTTTTATTCCCATTTGTTTTTGTTCCTCCCAACAGCCTGGTATATAACAAAGCAATTTCCTTTGTACCTCTGAGTAAAATAAATAAAATTATGTAGAAATTGTAATATTGATAATTTATATCCAGAAAAAAAGAAAATTATGAGAACACAAAAAAATATTAAATAAAAAACTTAACTGCAGTATATTGTCAGCCGTTTTTAAAGAAACACTTTGTGTGTGTGTGTGTGTGTGTGTGTGTGTGTGTGTGTGTGTGTGTATATATATATATATATATATCTCCAGGTAAGATGAGAACGAATAGAGTACAATTCCAACACGTAACATTTAATTTAAAAGAGGGCTCAATACAAAGTAGAGCAATATTATTTACTAGCAGTAGAGCCCGGCGTTGCCCGGGGATATAACAGTAAGAGATAGATCAAGTATTGACCATCATAAAGACTGAAAAATAAAATTGACAAAGATTATTGTTTAAGGTTGACGAACACGCATGTCTTAATTAGTTTTTTTTTTTTTATGAATTGGTCAAACCCAAACAAAAACATTGTTTTCAATATGGATTATGGATTTTATTATAAACAATTGTCTTGTAAATGGAATTTTTAAAGCATTCTGTATGTAAAAATACAGAAAAAAGTGTGCAAGACAATAAGAAACACTACCTGCCAAAAAAAAAAAGAAGTGAAGTTTTGTTGAAATCGGTTGAAAAATGTAGGAAATCTGATCCCATATATAAACGAACATGCACACACACATACAAACAACCTGGGTTTTATAATAAGTATAACTAGATATGAGTTGTCCCCCTTTCATTCTCGCGATGACTCTTAATTGTGTTTTCAAATTGATTTTGTGCAAAAACAATTGTGCTTTTCCAATTTTTGGCGTTGTCAGAACCACCGCAAGGTAATTTTACATAATCCTGTGAAGTTTTGTTGAAATCGGTTGAAAAATGTAGGAAAATCCGATCCAATATATAAACGTACAGACACACATACACACACAATCTGCGTTTTATAATAAGTAAGATTTTAGGATATTTCTTCAAAAACATGTCAAAATTGCTACACAATTGCAGTCGTGTTTTGATGCATCTCATCAGGTGTTTGTAAATTACTGGCGAGCGAACAATTTATTTTAGTTGATAAATAAATAGATTCTTTAAGAAACCAGTAAATAATTTAAACATATGGAATTGGTAAATTAATATGTAACTGTTGACTAAAGATTCTTCATATAAGATGTGTATAATATGTATCCATTAACATCTGTTCTTGTTTCACAACCTTGCTAACCGAACAATCGGTTAAGGCACGTCAGGTTAAATGACGGTTCCCTGTAGGATACAGGTTCAATTCCTGTCGAACGACGAGTATTTTCTATGAAAATTTCTTGGATATTCAGGCCGGTAAATGTTATTAATACTGTTTATTATAAACAGAGCATTTACTTAAATATTTGTATCTATAAAAAGAATGTATAAACATAAAAATGTCTTTTATATATATATATATTATATATATATAGGATATAAAAACCTTTTTAGTGAAATATAAATTTAACACACCTTAATTAAGACAACAAAATATTACCTTTGAATTTTTATTTTCTTCTGTTGTATTCGTTTCTGTAGACTTTTCTTTTGACCGTGTTGGGCTGGTGAATGTTCCCATTGGAGCCCATTCTAAATACAGTGGAATATGTAAGAACTAAAATGAGAAAAGTGAACAGAAACTAAGCCATGGTAAGAATGCATTTAGTAGACATTATAGTAGATGTTGAACTGAAAAATAAACTAAACTGTAAATTTGAACTTTATGATGCTGAAGCTCTTGCTTTGTCAATCTTCTTTTTATAAAACTGATTTATCAAGTAATTAATAAGGCTCAAGTCTTCAGCTGTTAACAGATACAGGAATTTACAAAGGCTATATTTTCTGAGGTACATTTTACAAAAACTTACTAATATTTCTTCACTGAAATACAAAATAATTATACTGATAAAAGAGATGTATCTAACAAAACAAAAGCAACTCTTACCTTTGTATAAGCCAGATTATTAAAGGCTTTTTTGGCTTCTGATTGAGAGAGGAACTCTACAATTGCTGTGATTCCAGAAGGAGGAAGCACTACTCGACCAAGAGTGCCATAAGTTGAAAATACATTACAAATTTCAGAAGGTTTGGTTGAAGCTGGAAGATTTTTTACTAATATCACAGTTTTGCTCCGGGGAGCTGCAGCCTAAAATCATTAAAAATTTTACAGAGTATGAAAAAATTATTCCAAAATAAAATTAACAAATTATTTTAAATCTTAGATATATTAATTAAATTCTGATATATTAAAATGACAACATAACATTATTAATATTGTATTTACTTTCATTTTTTTTTTTTTTTTAGTTGCTATCTATGGTAATTTTATTCAGGCCATCAATTTACAGTAAAGTGAAGACAGTATGGATTGAAAATAAAGGATAAGTCTCTTCTGCACCAGGGAAAACTGGGGTGTGTTCAACTGATTTAACCAGTAAGCCACAAGAATTTGATGGCTTTGCAGAAAAAAAAAAAATAAATAAAAATGAAAGTAATGAAATCATAGAAGATATCTCATTACTGCTTCACTTCGAAGTCTTTTTGTTATCAAACTCCATTGACAATACATATAAAAGCCAACCGTCCTGGCTATAACAATAAACTACATCCGTGTCCTGGGTAAGATGACAAACTACATCCGACAGCAAGGCTTCTGATCAGGAGGTTTTGAGGAATGTGGAACCACCTCTTAATTGCTGGTGTTCCTAGGTCCACCCTGACCCAGGATGGTAGCACCTGTTAGGGTCCCAGCTATGGGCAAATAGTTAACCCCACACTGGGGTCAAAACATTATGAAAGTGTAAAAATAGGTTTTATTACCCACAATAAATTTTTGAAGGAAAAAATTATTACTAGCAATTCATTTTTGGAAAAATATTACTCGCAATAAAAATCTCGTTGGCATTAAATAACCCATTGAGGTTGATATGCCGTAAAACAAATCAAACCAAACCATAAAGGCCAAAAGATTTTCACTCAGTTTGTTGTTAATTAATTAGATGATGTACTTTCTTATAAATTAACCTGAAATTATTTCACAAAGTTTAGGGTGACTTGTCATTACAATTAAATAGTATTAATTAAAAGGAAACTTATTTGTTAGTTTCTTACACCCAAAACCTAAAATTAAAATAATTATTTAATAAAAAAAAAATAATGATTAGTGCAATATGACTGTTGTAGATGTTGATATAAAAACAAATTTATTGATGTACAGAATGGATTTTAATACGCAAGAACAACAAAGATATTAACTGAATAATATCTAACATCATACTTAGTTTTATATTCAAAATATGTTCTTTTAATAATATAACAGTACTAATAATTATATTATTTTAAAACTATTATTTTGCATATATATATAGTCCAAATAAGTGGTGCAATGTAAAATAAGTTGTAAACAAAAATAAAAATGTAACCATTTCTAAAACGAATATGTAAATTAGTTAGATTTTTCTTACTTGGCTAAAGCTGTCCAAGCAGACCCCATTCTCAATCAAAAATTCTCTTGTTTCTGTCACAATCTGGGTCTCACCCAATGCCATACGCACACCAATGCTTTCTCTGGATTCCTGAAAAAAATTGTATTAAAAATAAATAGAATTTAAGTTAAAATTGTGCATATAATCTAAATATTTAACATCATCTTGATGCTAACTTTTAATGTGTTTATTACTATTGTAAACTATAATTAGTTAAAAGTATTTACTACTATTTCTCTATTAGTTTTGTCTTTAAGGTTAAGATTAGTTCAGCCTCCAGCAGTATCAACTGCTATTTATGTGGTGGAGATTTGCATATGAATACAACAATTACATGTTATTTGGAGTTAAGAATCTGCATACTTTCATTGTTCCAACTGAAGGTCTTATAATAAAAAAAACAAATAAATGTTAATCATCAAAACAGGCACTGAATCCTATCTAAGTACAGTGATACCTCGAGTTAAGTCATTTTCAAAGATATGTTGGTTTTTCTTAAATATTATATGGAAAAATGAAACTCCATTTAGGTTGTTTTACTAGAGTTTATGTTGTCCGTTAAAAATGCTAGAAACACTAAAACCCTAAATTAACAATAAACACATATAAAATCATATAAAATATATATATATATATATATATATATATATATATATAATATAGTGTATAGAAACACTAAAACTCAAAAAATAACAATAAACACATATAAAATCATATTTAAATAAATTTATTTATATATATATATATATATATATATATATATAGTGTATAGAAACACTAAAACTCTAAAATAACAATAAACACATATAAAATCATATTTAAATAAATTTATATATATAATAAAACCATCAAAAAAAAAAAAAAAAAAAACAAAATTAGCATAATAAAGTATGTTCAGCAGATTTTCTTATTTCAAACTCCTGCCAACAGGCGGCACTCATACGTTTTTTCCACACCAACACTGATTTTGAATTCAGATGTTTTTACATCTGTGCTCTGCCTTTGATATTATTTTGATTCAATTTCAATTGTGGTTTAGAATAAATTTTTGCCCATGGCTCTAAAGAAAATACCCAGTGCAAGTGCTAATGATAAGCATAAGGCTATATTGCTGGAAGATAAAGGTGGAAATTATTTATTTTATTTAGAATATTATACATAGGTATCATAATATAGGTAATAGGTAATAGGCAATAGGGAGTGCTTATTTGTGCTTTATAGTGTTGTTATTTTGACTTAAGTCATTTTTTTGGCCAGAGTCGTGAGCTCTGGAACCAATTAATGGGTGAAGTATACCTGCACAAAGAGGTTGGAATAAAACTATCAACATTATTAATAAAACACATATGTGAGAAAAACAAGTTGTTTAATTCATTGTATATTCATCAAAAAAAATTTAGTGATATCTGATTAGATTGTTGATTTACTTCAGGATCAAACAGAAAAAAATGGAGATTTAAGGACAAGTTTTGTATCAAATTAAATAAATAATAGGAAATAAAGTCGGTGTATGTTTTTTTTTTTTAATATACAGAAACAATTATATTTGCAACTTTTGTAACATTCACCCATTCATTATCTATGCATTTAAATTTTGTAGAAGACATGTGACTCAAATCTCATGAGATAGTTGTGTTTGAAAAGTTGATAATTTGTGCCACAATATGTAATGAAATCAGCCAGATTTTAAAAATCTACTAACAACCAATTTCAGTAAAACTTTCAGCATTCATTTAATAAATGATGAAAATTGTTTATTGGGTATTTTGCTTCCTAAATACAAATTCTGCTTGCCTTTGTGAAATATATATTTATTTTCTGGACTTCAAGATGTCCATCTCTTCAGGCCAGTTTTACAAAAATAAATGGAGTTCAATTCATTCAGACACAATGAAAAGAAAGAAAGAAGAGAGAGAAAAGAGAAAAAGGAAAAAGTTTTAAGATTAAAAGGGGAAAGAAGGGGGAGAAATACAGAGATTTCAATATAAGGTTGATAGGGGGGAAGAGAAAGAGAGATATGGGGAGGGGAAGGAAAAGAGAGTGAGAAAGGGAAAGAAAGAAATTAAGCCGACAGGGTGACCCAGAAAAATATTTTTTTCCTCGAGGAACTGACAATTTAAAAAAATAGGGTGGGGGAAGGGAGTGATCATATTCAATATATATATATATATATGTATATATATTTTATTTTATATGTGCAGTACTTAGTGGAAAGAACTCAATATCAGTGATAGAGCTAACATATTCAGATTCAGTTGTATGGATATGAGTTTGTGAATTACAACTGCGTATGTAGGTATGCCTGAACACATGAATATGCATCTCTGCCTTTCCTCGTATTGTTTATATGGATGTGTTTGTGAGAACTAAAATGTGTACACCTGTATGTATGTGTGTCCTTGCGTATGAGATGAGTGTCACCCAAAACAAACACAGAAGTAGATTCCTCCTCCCGCCAACAAATCTAGTCAAACAAGCATAAATAGATCCAATTTTAAAAAATAAACTAGTTTAATAGCAAAAGCATGAAACCCAGGGTCGCAAACTCATATCCATACAACTGAATATATAAAATTAAAAATTCGTAGGTAAAAATTGTCATTAACTAAAGGTATCTTAATTCCAATTGTAAAGTAGATATATATATATATATATATATATAATCCTATTGTGATTTTACATATATATAACCCTATCAGGGTTATATATATATATATATATATATATATATATAAAAGAAAAAATACAGGAAAAACAAAATTCTGAATATGCATTATTAATGTTAAAATAAAGTCGACGTCGGACGTTTCGGTCTATTTAAGACCATCTTCATGGACATTTTCATTTAAACGTAATTAACATTATAACTTATAACAATTTAACACAAAAGACGATGGACATAAGAGCCCAACTAATTCAAACAGATAACTATATATATATATATATATATATATATATATATATATATATATCAATTTTATATTTTTTTTTTACTAATTGAACTAGTCATGTATAGTTAACTTTCTTCTGATGCAGGAACAAAGTAATTCTTGGAACAGAGCTTATCAGGTCTTTCAAGGTTTTAAAGGTCAAATAAATATTTATACAATACCAAAATATTTTGTCATTACATGCAGCCAAATATCTGTGAAAGCAAATTTTCTCATATTTGTTATGACTAATAAAAAAAATAAATGATAATTTTACTTTTTTTGATGGCATAAAAATTTATTTTGAGCAAAATTGGTGATTTTGAATCCTTATTATTCCTTGTCAAAATCAATTTCTATAATGATCACGATGAATGGGTTTTCACTCAAGGAGGAGGCCCCTTGCATTGAACACCTATTGGAATTAAGGAGAATGAAGAGGTATGGTATAAAAGTCACAATATCTTTATTCTTTGATATAAATCAGTTATAATGTTATAGGCCTACTCAAGTTAGGAGCATATGTATAGGCTTTATGAGATTTGTAGGCCATAATCACTTAATTATATAAAGAGGAGCCAGAGTTGGAGGTGCCACAAAGGTTTTGTTTTCTGACTCCACAGCCCTGCTTTCACATATATCCTCATAAACTGTGTCCTTTACTCTTACCACTCACATAACAACCATGTTCTGTAACCCTCAATCTTGAGTGGCCTTTGTATAGGGTGAATATTGGTTTACAAAAATAGAAAGATCTATAGCATTCAACGGTCGATTCAAAAAATACCTTAAAATAAGGCAGTTCATGGGGTTTCCAAAACTAACTAATGATAGATGGTTTGTAAACTTAAATAAAACATAACACTGCTATTTAAAGCTACTTCCTTTTAAAAACAATTTTAAGTTATTTACAAAAAAAAAAAAAAAAAAAAAAAAAAAAAAAAAAAAAAAAAAAACAACTTAAGAATAAATTCTTTTAAATGAGCTGTCAAAGTTTTGGCTGCTCAAAAGTGATTGTTTACACCTACGTAAAATCCCAGTGAAATTTAAATAAAGAAAAACCTAGGTATAATAATTAATATGAAACACCTTAATCTAAGAAAGTTAGTTTCATTTTTTAAAGTAGATGTATTTCAGAAATTAAACATACACAAATTCATATCTGAGAAATATAAGTATACTTTTCAAACAGATTATTGTTTTCAATATTTTTATTTCTAAAAAAAAATAAAAAAAAATGCATCATTGTTTATTTTATAAAATTTACACTTAATTGCTAGTCTTCGCATGTGTGTGCACAAAGCATATAAATTAGAAAGTAGTTTGCAATTATTGCGATGTTTCATACAATTAAAATATCTAAGAATATAAAACAAAAGATACTCAACTGGATCAAGAATCTCACTTTTGTCCACTCCATATTTCTCGGCCATGAGGTCAGCCACCACATTAGCACCCAGAAATAAGCTGTTCCAATTGTGAGAACTAAACGAATTAAAAAAAAAAAAAAGGACATACATTAATGTCAGAAGATATTTAGTGATGCAATTAAGATTCTAATAAACTTTACAACTTAATGAAAATATTTTTCTATTTTGATAAATAATCATTCAAAATATATAATTAGTTACTGTTATCCTAATCTTAATTGCCATATTCACAACATTTTGACCATTGTACACTCCAGTCTTCTTCAGGCGATTGGAATTTTGAATTGAACCCTTTATTTCGTCCACCAGGGTAGACTGTTCTAGTTCCACATGCTATGCCTCTTTCAGATGTCTCAGTTATTTCCTGTTAACTCTCCAAGTTTTTTGGTTCACCACTGCTGTAGCCTGGTATTAAACTCACAACTCTTTGGGTTTAGTCACTGGATCTAACCAACAGCCATGCGTCCGAATAATGTAAATGTAAATAATCATAATACCTCATCTCATAGATAAATATATATTATCAATATTAAATACAAAAAACAATCACAAGCTTATTTTAACTTCATTAAAACATTGCTACTATGCAAATTTTTATTATAGCATTAATTAATTTTATTTCATTAAAATTTTTAAAATATGAAACAATAATTCTTAAATAAACATAAATAAAAAATGAAATGCATTTTGACTTAAATATGGTAAAAGCAAAAGAAAACACTTCTTGCTTTACTTTGAAAAATATTTTTGAAATATTTTCATTTTACTGTTTTATCTTTTTTTTGATTATATTTATTGAATTCATTTTTCTTTTGCATTTTTTAAATGTTTTAAACACAGAAATTTTTAAGTAAAAGATTTCTTACCTGCTGGCCTGTTCTTTCTGTTTTTGCAATTTACTTAATTGGTAAGATGAACCTTTTATTCTTCCTAAAAACAAAAAATATTGGAAAAATTCAGCAAAATTAAAAAAAGATTGTATTAAATTTTGTACATTAAAATATATTTGATGAAGTCACTGATTTTGAAATTTTCTAAAATAAAAAGTCAGGACTGAACTCATAATAGCAGCTAACATTATCTATAGCTATAATTCTCAAAATGTGTGTGTGTATGTGTGTGTGTGATTAGATGTTTATGTGTTTCCACAGTTTTCATCTGATTTCAATGAAATTTTTTTGTTTGATAGATAATTCTTCAGCCCCAGTTTTCAGCCCAAATTGTCTGGAAAAAATTACAACCTTGAAGGTGAAAAAAAAAAAAAAAAAAAAAATCGAATTTTTTAAACTTTGCACAAAAATCAAAGGCAACATTTAATATCTGTAAAATATAGCATACAATCAATTTAGAGAGTTGAAATCTAATTGCAAAGATTATTAGAATTATGAAAAGAATTATATTATAAATAAAAATGATCATGTTATTATGGTGGTCTATGGAAGAGGTTCCTTCCTTGCAAGATTGAGAACGCAAAAACGGCCCTCTTCAGAGACCCCCCCATCCAAATTGTTACCCCCCACACACACACACATTTGGGGATGTGCCTCATTTGCACCCAATTTTTGTTACTAATATTGATTTTCAGGTGGGCTAACTTTAAATTTAAAGTACTCAAATTGAATGGCAAAAATTCCCAGTAATGAAACACCTGGTTGAAGACAAGTTATACTGTTAGTTTCAAAATATCACATATTTGGTTCACTGAAGAAATTTTCATAAGTGTATTACAAATAATTTCTAGCAACAACAGTTTCTGTTTATTTCGAGTTCAATATTTTCAAGGAAAGTTTTAGGATTTTTGACATTATTACAATTGAAGACATTCACAATCATTTATCACCATTGAACTTGAAAATTTAACTTTTAAAAAATTTTCCATGAAATTTGAGATAAAATATTTTTAATTCATAAATCAAATTAAAAAAATATCTTTAATCTTTTAATAATAATTTAAAAATATATATCCTAAACTTTTCCATTCTAACTATTACCACATAAATTGGAAAACCATATTTACTTTCATCTTGTCAGATTTCACACTGTTGAAAACTTGTTTTATAAACCATACAGGATTAGATTTGAATTAAGGAATAAAGTGACATATGTCAAATGCAGATAAGTAAATAGGCATTTACCAGTTCTGTTACTTTCTTCTTCTTTCTTCATCAGACTGGGAAGTAGATGAAGCATTCTACCCTTAAAAAAAAAAAACAAACAAACAAAAAAACCTCAATTAAAAATGAAATGAATTAACATCTGTCTACATTTCTGAGATGAGGTATTGTAACTTTTTACACAATTTAAATTGTTCAGTCTGTTGTCCTCATCTTTATTGCTATATTCACAATGTTTCAGCAGTATACTCCAGCCTTTTTCAGGTGAGAGCTGGAATTTTGAACTGGACCCTTTATTCAGTAGGTAGATAGTTTTAATTATATGTGCCATGCTTTATTAGGATATCGCAGTTTTATTTAATTCTTTCTTGATAACTCAACTCTTCCAGTTTTTGTTCTTTCTGTTGTGGCCAAGGATTGAACTCTCAACTCTTTGGGTCAGGTGACTTTGGATCAATAAACCAACACTTTTAATCACTGGGCCTTACACAGCTGAAATGTTGTGAATATGGCAATAAAGAGGAGAAAAACAGTCTGAACAATGTAAATAGTGTGAATGGACTTGTAACTTTGTCAACATCAAGTAAATAACATGAATGTAAATTTAAAATTACCTGGTTTCATTTTGCTTTGATTGTTGGTTTTAAACTAGGTATTGGCAAATTTTTTTGATGAATAACAAATTTTTACAAAAATTGATTTCATTTTTTTTTTATTATGATAATTTATAGTTTCAAAAATAATTTTAAAATTCTTCAAAACTTTAACCTTGTTAGTTAGTGAAGACTATATTTACTAATCAAAAATTGAAAAGCTTAATACAAATCATCCCACACCAAGATTTTTAAAATAATTTATTTTTTTGTGTATAAACATGCCCATTTTGAAAGTATACACATTATCAGAAAATAAGATCAATGACTATAGTAAATTTAAAGTCAACATTTCCAGAATTAGATTACAGAGAATATTTCCAACATTTTTAAGATTACTAAGTACTTAAAAATTATATAAAAAAGATGCTCACCTGTCATTTTCTTAAATTATGTTTTAACAGATAAAGTCTCCATAGAACAACAATAAAAATGCCGACACCTTCAGAAGCACTTAAGTGATTTACGAGCATTGACAAGCATGCAATCACTGCTACTGTTTGTTTTAAAAATCCATTTCTGTTATTTTCAACTTAAAGTAAATAATATTTGTTTCAAATCAGATTAATTATATTTTAAATCAGTTAATATTCCTCAAATAAAGTTTCAAAAATGTATATTTTATTTTTGGAAGATTTTTAAAACCGAGAATTAACTTTTGTTTACAAATGTATCAAAATGGCAAATTTTAAATGATTTTACTGAAAGCAACCAAAGAAAATTGATTCCAATAAAAATAATTTCTATTTGAAATACACCAGAGTATTTTACTTATTGGAAATAGTAAATTTAATCATTTAACTTTCAATTAAAGCTAAAAAGAAAGCTTCAAGAATGCTTTTTCATTTTTAAAAGTTCATTTCAAACCTTAGGTATCAAAAAAAGTGGCAGTACCTAGTTTAAAGACATAGCAACCATCATTAGGTCAAGTTTCATTTTGATACACAGCAACAACAAATTAGAAATATAGCAGATCAAAAAACTTGAAAAAATAATCTAGTTTCTTATCTGGAGGTGCAATTATAATTCAATATGATTTTGGTTTTCTTTTTATTGTCGAAGCTTGATTGAATCTTGAACAAAAGGTAACTAAGTTGCTCATGTCCTAACAAGATTACAAGATAAAAGAAGACTATTTACCTGGAAAGCTGATCCATCCAATTCTGAGTATGCAGTCACGGCATTCTCAGGAATCATATATGTAATAAAAGCAAAACCTTTTGGTCTTTTTGTTAAAGAATCTACTGGGAGATGAACCTCAGTCAAGCTACCTGGAAATATCATGAAACAACAAGATTTACTATTTTTGTGACATAAGATTATCAAAGGTTTGAATCCAATTTTGTGATTGGAATCATGTCATTACTACAACATCCATGTTGTACTAACGTATATTTCTTATTCCCTGGAAGTTGTCAGACTTGACAGATCTTAATGTAAAAAGGAATATATAAATAAAAATAGTTAATGAAATTAAAATAGTTAATGAAATTTGGTAGTTCTTAAAAACATTCCAAAATTTACAGTACAGAAGAACATTTTCAAAGTCTAAAATAGTGTCTACACCAGTGCTTCTCAACCATTTTCAGCCCATGGACCATTTTTTTTCTTTAAAAAATTCAAATAGACCACTCCTACTTTCTTTTAGGCTGTTCAATTTTCACACTAAAATACTCAATGAAAAGAGTCTATTTACACTTTAAAATTGATTTTAGTAAACAAGGATAAACACAGGATATCATAATCAATTTTGATGATGTCATTCAGTCTTAGTCCATTCAACTAGTGACTACCTTAATCTTAATGTTTCTGACACAAGATATCATAACCAATTTTGATGGTGTCATTCAGCCTTAGTCCATTCAGTGACTACCTTGATCTTGGTGTTTCTCATACAAAGTGTCATCATTATAATGAATATAGCACCTATGCAATATAATAAATATAGCATAATACCTACATCATTTTGAAATGGACATGTGTGTAATTAAACAAAATATTATATTTTTTAATTCTTCAAAGTATGAATAATTTAGATACATTTTTGTGAAATGGTTATAATTTTTTATGGCTATGAATTCTTTGTGGACCACTAGAAATGCTATGTGGAACCCTGGTGGTTGACCTGGACAATTTTAAGAATCACTGGTCTACACTATGGACAAAGCAGTATGAAGAAAAAGTCAAATTTTCTTAACTGTAGAGCTACATATTCCAGTCTCTAAGAATTAGAAAGTATGAAAAGAATTAGATTCTCTCTCTCTCTCTCTATATATATATATATATATATATATATATATATATATATATATAAATATAAAAGACAATAAGGAAAACTGTAGTAGGAAAACTTTATACATCCTTTTTTTCTTTATACATAGTTTTTACAAATTAAGAAGGTACATGTTGTGTATGTGTGTGTGCATACATACACATATATTAATTTATTGAAGATACAATTTGTTACCATGGGTAGTCATGATAATGCTGAAATTTGCAAGTGAATTGGCATTTACTTGAATTTTTTAACAAGGGGGATATTGAATTATATCAGGGATGACAGATTAATTGTACTCAGAATGCGTAATAATATAAAAAGGGGGATAAGATTTTTCAAAAAGTCTAAGTTTAACATCCAAATTAAAACTCATTTGAAACAAGTGAATTTCTTGGATGTTACATTTAGCCTTGATAATGGACATTCACATTCAGAAAGTAGGATAATAACTTTATTTATTGTTATATACCGTATCTATGAACACTAATGGGTATATCCCAATCCTCATAAATACATTGGACACTATTGTAAGTGGGGGTAATATAATGTCTAATTAGTCTACTACTAGCAATGGTTTACCTACTTCATGCTGCTGGTGAGTATTGTATTTTGTTGATGTTATAAAGATTACCATTTCATTTCCAACCCCCGTTTTGGTTATTCCTCATTCAGTAACACTTTCTTGGTTACAACATCTATCTATCTAACATTGTTATCTATTGTTATATACTGTACATATGAACACCAATGGGTATGTCCCAATCCTCATAAATATTTTGGAGACTATTGTAAGTGGGAGGGGGGGGGGGAATATGACATGTAAGTAGTCCACTACTAGCAGTGGTTTACCTACTTGACGCCGCTGGTGAGTATTGTATTTTGTTGACATTATAAAGATTACCATTTCATTTCCGATCTCTGTTTTGGTTATTCCTCATTCAGTAACCTTTTCTACGTTACAACATTTATATAAACAAATTATTTAACCATCCACATTCTATTTTCAATCAAGTCCCAGAATCAATTAGCAGTAGGCCGTCTATAAACTCCTATAACTCCAACATCTTTGATCAAGGTAAATACACTCTGTATTAAGAGGTGAAGTGGAAATTTGTTTGCATGGAGAATTTCAAAATATGTAACATGCTTGGGGAAGAAATGAAATATTGCATTCTCTGAACAGATCAAATTTTTGATCTTTTAGATTCTGAATAATCTCCAAATAAAGGCATGAAAACAACTTATCTTTTATGTTATTAACCACCAGATAAGTGAAAGACACGACCGGTGGGTGCAGTTGCTGTGGGAATATATGGTTGATAAAGCTGGATTCATTTTTTTAATTGCCTGATGTTTGCTGCACTGGTACAAAACTTTTAGTAGCAATTTAAAGAGTGTTACTATTTTTTTTTTTTTTTTTTTTTTTTTTTTTTTTTTTTTACACACACACACACATCATTTCTCCTGAACTCAATCTAATACAATCAGTGATGGTGAATAAATGAGCTAAAACAAATGACTTACCATATTTTCCAAACAGTTTTTCCAAATCGTCTTCTGTACTGCTGTAGGACAGGTTCCGCACAAATAATCTTCCAGACTTTAATAGAATCACAGAAATAAACTGAAGATATGCTAACTGAATGGTGCGTGAATAAAAAATATATATGTTCCCATCTTCTATAAGTTTCAAGAAAGAAACAGAAATAATCTCCCTTCAATACTGCATATAGTATGCCTGCATTAAAGATATATTTGAACTATTTGTATAGTATAATGAAAAAAATACCCTTTCCTGATGACTTAAGATATACAAAAGTAAATATGGAATAATAAATATAAATAATAAATATAAATTTATATATATATATATATATATATATATAAATGTATAAGGGTAAATGACAATAGAAAAACTGTATTATTAGCAGACGTGTTTCATCCAATGTGGATTTTTTCAAGGCAAAAATGAAATCAATTTATTGAAAACAGTGTAGCTATTAACAACAAGCAAAATGTCCTTAGAAACTATAAGAATTTAGAAAATTACATAATTTTCAGTTGACAATATGAATAGCGTTTTCTAAATTCTTCTAGTTGCTAAGGATATTTTGTTTTGTTGTTAATAGTTACTTTGTTTTTAATAAATTCATTTCGTTTTTGCCTTGAAAAAGTACACATTGGATGAAACACATTGATTAATAATACTGTTTTCCTATTGTCTTTTACCTTTAAAAATATTGTCTTTTCTACAGGTTAAATCTGAGAAATTTTTCATATATATAAATATTAATAAAAACAAGAATATATAAATGACAATTTTATCTCGTTAATGTCCTAAAGACGAGGAAAACTGTATTATTTGTCAATGCATTTTGTCCAATGTGGACTTTTTCAAGGCAAAAACGAAATGAATTTATTAAAAACAAAGTAACTATTAACAATAAAACAAAATATCCTTAGCAACTAGAAGAATTTAGAAAACGCTACTGTATTCATATTGTCAACTGAAAATTATGTCAATATGAATACAATAGCATTTTCTAAAGTCTTCTAGTTGCTTAGGACATTGTGTTGTTAATAGTTTGTCTTCAATAAATTCATTTCGTCTTTGTCTTGAAAAACTCCACATTGGACGAAATGTGTCGGCTAATGATACAGTTTTCCTATTGTCTTTTACCTTTATACATATTTTTTGTCTTTTACCTTTATACATATCTTTTTCTACAGGTTAACCGAGAAATTTTTCATATATATAAATATTATATATATAATATTGTACAATTCATAGATTGTATGATGATCTTTTGTTATGGTTACATGATTTCAGCTTTAATTTAGCGGACAATATCTTAAATTAACATGATTTTCATCATAATGTTGGAGATAGAAGGCATTTAAATACAAATGAAAGATTATGTGGGATAAGAATGTACTTAGAAACCTTTTCATAAAAATGGTTTCCAATGAGAGCCTCATGCAATCATGACCATGTGTCCAAAAGAACTGGAAATATGACCCCCATCTAACTGGTCAACATAGTGTCCATCTTTCACAATCCAATGATGATTTCTCCGAGGAAAGTGAGGTGCAGTAAATGATAACCTGGTTCCAATAATTGTACCCTTGGTAGACAACAATTAAATCATGTCTAAGCTGCACAGTACAATGAGTGATAGGTTGGGTGTTACCAATATTGAATTGAAATGTAATTTGATACAATGTTTCTTTTTCTTGTTGGGTGCTTACCATCCTTGAATGTCAGTACTAATCCTGTCCTTGCATCACCTGTGGGTGCCTGTAATTTTTGCGTGTTACTGAGATCTTGCATTATTTACAATGGATAGATCCAGTGAAAAGAACCAGAGAGAGTTGTGAATATCAGGCTACAGCAGTGGTAAACCAAAACTTGTAGAGTTGAGTTAATGGGAAATAACTGAGACACCTGGAAGAGACATGGCATGTGGAAGTAGAACAATCTACCCCGCTGGATGAAATAAAGTGTTCGGTTTGAAATTCTAATTACCTGAAGAAGGCCGGAGCATACAACGGCCAAAACGGTGTGAATATGGCAACAAAGATGAGGATAACAGTCCAAGCAATGTAAATAATGCAAGTAATCATAATACCTCATCTCAAAGATATAGACAGATATTACTGAGATCTGTCTGGAATTTACACGTTCCTGGTACAGCCTTTCTAATGTTACCCAAGGAAAACCAAGAGCAGTTACAACCTTGTAGATAGAGTGTTTCATTTTTCTGACCCCAACAACCATTCTGCAGTTAGTGTTAAACCCTGTCCCTACTCTTTGGTTGTCACAATTACACCACCTCTTTAACCATTACGAGACTCATACACTATCTGGATGAGTCCATTTCTACAAAGATGTAGGCTGAAGCTGATGTTGTTAATTAAATGTTATACTATAATATACAGTAAGCAACAAGTCTGTTGGATTTTAAGATGGCAGGCCTGAAATCATTAAGGTATTTTATTCCTTTAATGATTTACAAACATCTATTATATTCTTTCAGAAATAAAAAGATGACTAAATTTGTACTTATAGTTAATAAAGCACTGAAGAGCTGAACACTTGTTAACAACACAATCTAAATATTGGAGAGAAATGTTTTTTTCCGCATACCTCAGCAAGATCCTCTTCCTCTTCATCTGGTTGGACATTCTGAAACAAAAGAAAGAATTTTATCATGTAGAAATGAGAATATTTCACTAAAATATTTCACAATAGTGACAAAGTGAATTGTATGTGTATATATATATATAGAAATATTATAAACTGAATAAATCAGACATTATCTGAAAATACACTGCTGCTAACTATATATTAATACATTTTATCATAAAAAGGTAATTATACAAAATTAATTAGCAAATGTTAATGTAATTAATGGTGAAATCTCTTCACTAACAAGACTTAATAAGGCATTAACTTATTAACAATTCATTGAATAATGCAATCCTTATGTTTAAATTATTGTCAGATAGATTTAATGTTGCTAGGTTGAATATTTTCGAAAATTTCACATTATGATGTAATATATATACTGCACAATTAATACATTTATATACTTGGAACAAATTGAGAAAATAACAGTCATTTTTATAATTGTAAATTAAAAGTTTTACTGGCAATAATTTTTTCATGAAATGAACCACAATTTGAAAGACAATTTAGACACAAGAGGTTTCAAGAAAATCAAAAATGTCTGTCTATATCTCTGAGACGAGGTATTATGATTACTTGCATTATTTATATTATTCAGGCTGTTATCCTTATCTTCATTGCCATATTCACAATGTCCTCAAGGACACATGGCTCAGTGGATAAAGACGTTGGTTAAATCCAGTGACTAGACCCAAAGAGTTGTGAATTCAATACCAATACTTGGAGAGTTGAGTTAAAGGGAAATAACTGATGGAACTAGAACAATCTACCCCGGTGGATGAAATAAAGGGTTTGGTTTGAAATTTCAATCACCTGGAGAAGGCCGGAGTGTATAAACATTGTGAATATGGCAATATAATGCAAGAAATCAAAAATGATTTAGCACATTTGTTCAGTGATAATAATGTGATAAGATTTTCAAGTAACACAAGACAAAACTATTTAGCAAAATAATTTACTGTTTAGACACTTTCTAAACATTGGAATTAAATTTTTGGCATCATTCCTATTTATGTTGAAACTGTACTTCTATGATACTAATTGTGTGTGTGTGTGTGTGTGTGTAAGAAAGAAGTTGAATTAAGGATTCATATCGAAATACTAACTTTTCTTTCCCATGGTTTAGAAGTATCATCATCATCATCATCACAGCTCCCTTTACATTTCTTGACACTCACTTTATGTCCATCTACAAAAGAAAAATTTTAAATCATTTAATGGAAAAAATTAATGGTAACCAAAACAGTTTAGATCACATAAACATTCTAATTAAATTTATTATTTTCCACAGACTTCTTTTAGCTCACACTACACAAGTTCTCTTTTATGACCACATTGGTAAGCAAAATAAAAAATATAAAAGAAACTTTTGTAGATAATTCTGTTTTAACTCTATTTGAATAGCCACACCTCCACTACCACCTTATACAAAATAAAATACTAACTCAAAGTTATACTACTTAAATTTCAATAGTGAATGTTTTGTTTTATGGCATATCAGTCTCAATGGGTTATTTAATGCCAAGATTTTTATTGCTGGTAATATTTTTTTTCCAAACATGTATTGCTGGTAATAATGTATTGCTGGCAATAAAACCTATTTTTACACATTTTGACCCCAGTTTGGGGATTAACTATTTGACCATAGCTGGGACCCAAACAGGTGCTACCACACTGGGTCAGGGTGGACATGGAAACATCAACAATTAAGAGGTGATTTCACGCTCCTAAACAGAGGCATTGCTGTCAGATGTAGTTTATTGCCATACCCAGAATGGCAAACAGTGAATGTCCCCACCCATAGGCACAAAATTACTGTAACAAAAGTTTATAAACAGAGCTCTACTAATCTCAAACCACACGTCACTTCTAAAAGAATTATATAACATCAAACTCCTAACAACAGATTCGTTAACTTTATTGTTGACAAATATATAAAAATCAGTCTAAGTAAAATTAATTGAAATAATAATACACACAATTAGAATAAAAATATATAAAATTCATTATAACCAGATACACCTTAATTATAAACCGGATGAAATAGTTATTAAGAAAGTATATGTAAGAATATATCTCCTGTTGACCATAGCAAACATATCTATATAACATGAATGACAGAATTCTCAAAGTTCTTATATTAAAAATAAAAAAAATCACATTAAATATCCTTTTAGTCTAGGAAATGGGAGTTCTTTCAATAATCAGCTAAAAAAGAAAAGTCTAAATAGAATTTCTTTTTAATTCATGTTACTGATAACAACACTGTAACTAATGAATTCCAATTGATTTTCCAATGATTCCTTCAGATGTAAAATCTTTAAACCAAAATATTCTTTAAAACCAAGGGAAAGGTTACTTTTGCATCATTTCATCTTCTGTGCTACAACTATGTTTTGTCTTTGAGGGTGGCCAGAGTAAAAAGAAAAAAAAATAATTGTCTTTTCCTAAAGGATTTTTTGAGGCAATAATGAAAAAGACTCCTAAGTGAAATTCGAAAAGAAATAAACATTTATTAAAATAACAAAAATTATGTACATTATACAAAATGAGGTAGAAGTCAATGATTTTGAAATTTTCTAAAATTAAAAAAAAAAATAAAAATAAAAAAAAAATTCAAAAATTATTTTCACATCAAATTGTAAAAAAAACAAAAAACAAAATAGGCCATACACAAAATTTCCTTTGTCCAACTTAAAATAGTCAAGATTAAATAACAATTCTTGCAGAAGTTCAAATTTCTGTTTTCCTTTAGAAAACAACAGTTCATGTAAATCAATTTTCTCTTTTAGAGACAATAAAAGAATTTTGCTTACATTGTAAGTATTCAAGTTTGCAGAGTGAAAAAGGAATATCTATCTCAGGCATTTAATAGTTTTCCATTTTGAACATATTTTATCTATATCTTAAGTTCCGTAAAATTGTTCTTTATTTATCTCTTAATTTTATCTAATTATATTATTAATTAATATTTTTAAGTATATTCTTATATTTTAATTTTTATTTTAACTTGTATTTTATTGATGTGAAATATTATTATTATTATCAATTTGAAATTGTGATGATTATAATGAGATGATTGTTTAGCTGTTGAAAATGACATGAAGATCAAACAATTCAATGTCTCTATCTAAAATCTGATCACTCCCTTCTTTTGTCCATAAAGAAAAAAAATCATTTCTAGGTCACCCTATCAGCTCATGTTTAATTCTTTCTTCGTTCCTTTCCCTCTCTCTTGCACTCTCTCTATCGCTTTCTCTTACCCTCACCCAATTGTTTTTAAAACCTTATATTGAAATTTTTCTTTTTCTTTCTTCCTCTTTTAATATTAAATTTTTTTCCTTTTCTTTTTTCTTCTCCCTTTTCCTTTTGTCTGGATAAATTGACTCCATTTATTAAAAAAACTTTGGTCTGAAGAGATGAATATTTGTATATTCATGAAATAAATTATAAGTGAATGGATTTTTAAGGATTGCCTGTATATATATATATATATATATATATATATATATATAAAAACTTTCTTTTTTTTTTTTACTAATGTTCACCTAATAAAAATTCCCAAGAGCCACTTAAGGTAGATTTTAAGGTTACTCAAGGCGGTTGTTAAGTGAGCAATAATAGTAAGAGTATCTGTCAATATTTCTGAGATGAGGTGTTATGTACACTATTTACATTATTCGGACTATTGTCCTCATCTTTGTCGCCATATTTATTACAACATTTTGGCCATTGTATACTCCAGCCTTCTTCAGGTGGTTGGAATGTCGAACTGAACCCTTTATTTTGCTCACTGGAGTAGACTGTTCTAGTTTCACGTGCCATGTTTTAATGGATGTCAGTTATCAGTTATCTCCTTTTAATTTCCCTCTGAAAGTTCTCCACTGCCTTAACTGGGTATTGAACTCACACTCTTTGGGTCCTGTCACTGGATCTAACTAACGCCTTTATCCACTGTGTCAAGGACGGTTAAGGCAGTGGAGAACTTTCAGAGGGAAATTAACAGCAGATAACTGATAACTGACATCCATTAAAACATGGCACGTAGAACTAGAACAGTCTACCCCAGTGAGCGAAATAAAGGATTCAGTTTGACATTCCAACCACCTGAAGAAGGCCGGAGCGTACAATGGCCGAAATGTTGTACTAAATATGGCAACAAAGATGAGGACAATAGTCCGAATAATGTAAATAAGAGTAGGAGGTGCAGTTTTATATGGATGTGTGTGAAAGAAGTTAACCATAGACTTGAAAAGGTTAAGATTGGTCAGGAAAGCAACCCCTTGGGATTCTGTTCTACAAATCATTAGTTCTTGTGTGTGTATGCATGTGTGTGTGTGTGTGTGTGTGAGATAATGAATATCAGCATTATATGGGCAATGACTTGCAGCTGATAGTACCTGTTATAATTGATCACACATTCAAAATAATTTAAACTATTACTTACTAATAAATCCTTCATGCTTTTTCAAAGCCTCTTTCACATCTTCTTTTGAATAAAATTCAACAAAAGCAATTCCTGAAAAAGAAAAAAAAAACAAAGAAAAGAAAATGAAACAATTCTGACAAATTAAATTTTTAGCATGAATCTATTCAGGTGATTCAAAACACAAATTATGCAAGATAATTCTTGACAAATTTTTGTTTCATTTTTATTGGTGTAATAAAGCAATAAAGATGTCAGAAAATTTAGTCAGAATTAACAAGGAAAAAAATACTTTATCTAAAAAATGAGCACAACTTAAAACTATAAATAATTTCAATGTATATGTCAACTTAACAAAATTTAACTTCTTCTGAACTTCACCAGGTTACTTTTATACATTGATTGTTTTGGACCAGTTTCCTGGTATTCATTGCTTTTACCATATTTCACCTGCTATATTACAGGTAACTATCACATACAACGATCATATTATCCAATAAGTAAGCATATATATGTGTACTATATGGAAGCCACTAATTAAAAAAAAAAAAAGACAGATATTATCTGGTTGTCCTATATGACTAATAAAAGTACTGGTAAAGCTCATATAGTTTAAGTTGTTAGTTTAATCTCTGGGTTTAGGTAATAAAGAAATATATATACACAGGCTGAGCGGAGAGGCAGCTCAGCATTATGTGGAATGCTTACAAGCTCAAAAATTCCTTGGATATGACAAATATAGAAATTAATCAAATAAACGATTCCATTTGATATTCTAAGACATTCACTAGATATGACATCAACAGAAGAAGACCAAAAGGTACAGAAGCTGAAATATTGTGATAACAATAACAAAATCAAAGAACTGATATGAAAGAATCAATGTAAAATCGTAACATTTCATCTCTGAAATTCAAACAAATGTTCACCAGGATACTGTCTGTAGCTAAAAGAACATCTTTTTCTATATTTTTCACCATCAAAATATCTTGTGTACAATTAAGAATTATACTCACCCAAACGTCTATGATTAGGTCCTTGTGGAATATTTACTACTTTCACTTTTAAAGGATGGAAGAATTCTGTTAGAGTAACCTAAACAATGGAGAAAGAAAATAAACTAATGAAAAATAATGTGAGTTTGTATAATTCATTTGAAATTACAGTATATTTATACAACACTCTTTAATTTCAATATGCAGAATCACTTTCTCATCCACTGATTAAGATTTGCTAAACAAATGCAAAATAAAAAATAAGAAAATTAAAGATGTTTGGATAAAGTAGTTTACCTAGCTTAAACAGAATTTTTAGTTAACTTTTAGCAGATTTAATATCAATCAATCACAGACGGCTGAATTCATATAAAATAAAATGATTAGAATCAAAATAAGAATACTTTTAGAATTTAATTAAAAATACTTTTTTTTGATAATTTAGTTAAAAATTTACCTGAGCTCTGAAGATAAGCAAGTTTAATTAAAGTTGAAAGTTGGTTTTAATAATCATTTTTTTTTTTATACAAGATAACAGATGTTTTCTTTCAGTAAGTATAAAACTTATCCATTTTGGACCACTTTCAACCATCATAGATCATTTTCAAGAAGAGAATTTGAAATTCAAGAAAAACATTGATGTTTTCATTTTCCATCATGGTGTTAAATGTTTAAAATATTATAAATTTAAATCATTTTGATTACACTGATGATGTCTTTTGCCAGCCAATTATGTGTTAAGCACCCTGTGGTATTATGTAGATTGGGCCTATGCATTTATTAAGTATTGAATATATTTAATACACCAGTTCCTAAGCTTAAGTATTATAATTCATAACACCACAGGTGGCTTTATACAAATGCCATGATAGAAAAAACAAACGTACCAGATTTTTTTTTTAATTTCTAAACCATAATATATTCCATTCTAAAAAATAAGTGCTTGAATGCATAGACAATTTTTATTCTACCTAAAAGCAAAGATTTGTAGCCGTGTACATAAACAAGATAAAAAATCACTAAAATTTACAAAAAAAAAAAAAAAAAAAAAAAAAAAAAAAATTATGATTTAAAATAAAACCGGTTTCAATGAAAATCTACTATTTATTTATATATATATATATATTTTTTTTTTAACAATAAAAACATTGAGAAATTAAAATTTTCAGACACACTGGGTGGTATATTAATATATTTTTGCTTTATTATATCAATTAGATTCCTCAACTAGTTTCGGCCAGCATGGCCATCATTAGGAGAAAAAAAAATTCTACCTGTTAGTAGCAGCAAACTACAGTAATGAATGACTTTCTGAAGAAAATGAACTTTTTATATATATAAATATATATAGTATAGAATTGGTGTATATGGAATAAATTCCAAGAACCAAAAAAATACTATTCTTAAAAGAGTGCTCAATACAGAGTAAAGCAAATATAATTTATTCAAAAATTATAACATAAATATGTTATGAAATCACCAGAATACTGTCTGTTGCTAAAGAATAAAATGGCTATTTTTCCAGTGATTTTATAACATATTTATGTTATAATTTTCGAATAATATATATATATATATATATATATATATATTCAGTTGTATAGAAATTAGTTTGTAAGCCTGTGTTTCATGCTTTTGCAATCATCAGACAAACTATATATAAAAAGCTAATCTAAATATATTTCCTAGTTATTAAGATGATACCAGATTTATACATATCTTTAAAAACTTAAAGGATTTTTAATTGTACAAAGATGGCAGTTTTAGATGGAGATAAAAATAAACTGATTAAAAAGATTTTATATAAATCTGAACCTTATCAATGAAAAGGTAAACACTGAAATATTACAAATGGCTATAACATAATAGTGACTATATAGTAATTATATTTTTTTAATTCTTCCATTTGAGATTGCCAGTTTGTCTTGGCAACAAAGAGATTAGTGATTACTAAATGAAGCATATTTATTTATGATTGAATATAGAGTAACAAGCTTACACTGTGATATCGACCAATTAAACCTTTTACACGTACAGAATGCCGGACAGGTTGAAACTCAGCCTAAAGAAAAAAAGAAAAAAACTTTTAAATCAGATTCAAATTATTAAGAAATTGTTATATACTGTACTTATGAGCACTAATTGGTATGTCCCAATCCTCATAAATACATTGGTCACTATTGTAAGTGGGGGTAATATGCTGTCTAAGTAGTCCACCATTGGCAGTGGTTTACCTGCTTCACACTACTGGCAAGTATTGTATTTTGTTGATGTTACAAGGATTATCATTTCATTTCCAACTTCCGTTTTGGTTATTCCTCATTCAGTAACCCTTTCTAGGTTACAACAGAAATATTGCTAAATTTCATTGTAAATATAACATTTTTAGTATGGGTTGACAGCAGATGTGTGGAGTGAGTAGCCATGGTCAAATAAAAAAAAAATAGTAGAACTGTCCAACAGAAATGACAATAAGCAACAACAAGAAAAAGAAAAAAAAGGGCAAAAAATAATGTAAAACAAGCAAATAATATATGGAAGGCAAAGTGACAGTAATAAAGCAAAATGACAGTAATATGGTGAAAAGTTCACAAAGTTAGAATTGGCGTTGAAACACAAAAGCAAACTTGGACAAGTGAACATAGCATTCTGACTTTAAGACAAAACAGGCTGAAACTGCGTCAGATGAAACCAAGGACGGGCCTATTTTATTGGTTAGAAAAAAAATCCCAGCATGCATTTTTGTGCTTCTGCTTATTAAATGGAGAGGGGAAAGTATTCTGCAGTCATTCACATGGGGATTGAGACATGGCAAGAATAGTAGCATGGACACTGCGAATGGAGGGAATCTTGCGATATGAGTGTTATTCTCTTCAGGATCTGGTTGGATTCTTGGGGCATCAGCTCAGGATGAAGATCAGATTTGATAGAAAGTGGTTGATATTGAAAGATTATCATCATCAAAAGGTGGCATGGTTTGCATGAATGGGGCTAGCCTTGATTTTCTTTTTAAGTCCCCTTGAGCACAATGGGGTGGTTTCCTGTGAACGCTACCCTGGTTAATTTAGACTGTTTTATGTTTTTCTACTTAACATGAATAAGTTTTGTTACTGTTCTTGGCACTCTCTTTTGTTATTAGCCATGTCATGTCAAGATTCCCAACCTTCCCAGTTTGTTTTTGCCTTGGTTGGGTCAGACTCTGGTTTTTCCCAATTCACTGTTTAATTTTTTCCTTCCCCACTCCATTAGTGAGTGTGCTGCTTGATTCTGTCGAATGGAAGAATACAGTGGCCATTCTCATTAATTTGAGGGGTGGATGGGTCCTCCTAACATCTGTTTTGTTTTAGTTTGAATATTTTGTTTTATTATCTGTCTATATTTCTGAGATGAGGTATTATGTACACTATTTACATTATTTGGACTATTGGCCTCATTTTTGTCACCATATTTATTACAGATGTTTCGGCTGTTGTACGCTCCGGCCTTCTTCAGGTGGTTGGAATGTCGAACTGAATCCTTTATTTCGCTCACTGGGGTAGACTGATGTAGTTCCAGTGCAGGCAGGCAAATACGTCCTATGATTTGAAATACCTTAGCTCCAGTCAATATTACAAGCATATCAATTATGTACTTTTAAAAATACTAATGTAATTCTTCCCATACTTCTTCTACTGCTCAAGAAAGTACCTGACTCCAGCTGTTATGCTATATCTTTACAATAGACAGATCAGACAATGAATGAAGTAGTGCTAACATATTTGGGTTGGAGCTGCACAATCCTCCCTTCCCAACCTTGACAGAGTTCAAAAGTAGCATTGTAGGTGATAATTTCCCACCTACAACTCCACTCTCACAGAGATGTTTCAAGATTCTCGCTACTCTATTGCTTCCATAGAAAATGTTCTGATGAGCTAGTCCCTAGTTCCACTATTTCAGACCTTTACAGCTAAGACCTGCCATAACATGTACTCAGGAATGAACCATTCTCATTCCCTTCATATTCCACTGACAAGAAGTTCCATTCAGACAGTTTCTTCCCAAGAGTTGCTACTTTATAGAACAGACTCCCAAGTGGATGCTTCCTCGAATGCTAATCTTAACGACTTCAAGTCAGAGTCAATCGTTACCTATCATATGTATCCTCATAATCTGCACTTCCCCTTACCCATCCTATATCCATACAATAAACTCATTTAGTAACACTAGCTTGAGTGGCTCTTGGGATTTACACTTATGAATTATTCCACCTTGCTGTTTATTTGATATAATTGCATTAAAACTTTATATATATATATATATATATATATACAAATATAGATAACTATACTCGTTTTGAAAAATCCTCAAATTTTTGATTTGCCAATAATCAAATCAATCTCGAGGGAAAAAAAGAAAGAGCTAGAAACATGAAAGTCTGTCGAAAAAAATCGCACAGATACAGGTTTGAAGCCGAAAGAAAAAACCCCGATACGAGTAAACAACTAACTAACAAAAGAGCTCAATACAACCGTAGAGCAGACCTAGATAAACCTAGTGAGCCAGACAAACCTAGGTAGGTTTATCTGGCTCACTAGGTTTATCTATCTATCTATCTATATATATATATATATATATATCTATCACTAATGACTGCATGTTCTACGCAAGATATATCAATGATGTCTTCTTTATATATATGGGCAATGAAAAAAAAACTTACTGATTTCCTTATGGCCCTAAACACAATACACGACACCCATTACGTTCAGCCATGAAAAATTGACACAATTGGTAACATGCACTCATATCTACATTGATAAAAATAGAAAACTACAAATGATACTATACACTAAAATCACTGACACCCACAACTATCTACACTAAGTCTTCCCACCTCAAAGAGAACCTTCCCTATTCACAAGCACATAGGATATGTTCCAACAATGAAAAACTAAACACACTAAAAATCTCGAGCAACAATTCACAATATGTGGCTATAAACAACACTTAATCAGGGAACAAATAAATAAAGTAATTTCCACACCGAGGGAAGACACCATAAAGTATAGAATTAATAATAAATTCAAATGCATCCCTCTACTAACCACTTTCAATACGACTCTACATCTACCA